ATTTTAGAAAAGGATTTTATTTAAATTTGTTTCTTAAAATCAGTTTTGTTAAAAAGATATTATTAGTTTTAATTATATCTTTTTTTAATTTTCCGGAAAAAGATTTTTACAAAATATGTTTTACTTAAACCGTGTTCTTGAGATAAGGAAAGTTAATTTTTATCTTTTTGAAAACCCTACTTTCTATACGAGTTATACTTGTATAAATAGTAGAGAAATGATCTCATTAGGTTTTTGGGTGAGTTTTTGTGTGAAGAAACCTTTGACCTTAATTCGTGTAAGTTTGCCAAGCTTAATCTTGTCATATTAGTTTCGGATTTCGTGCATTGCTTGCCTAACATATTCTAGGTAGGGTGAGCATGGGACGGGTACCCGTACTGATAGTATTAACGGTTCGGGTACCCGATAACCAAAATTCCTAAAAGTGATATCCATAACCCGAATTGATAAGTTCGGGTACCCGGACTTCGGGTACTCGGATTTTCGGATCAGTTATCGGGTACCCAATAAGATATCCAATAATGATAATTAAACTTAATTATATAGTTATTATAACATAATTTACCACTAATTAACAACAATATCAAATGATTTTGACCAAATTATTAATAATATTACTAATAATTGATATTATAAAGTAATAATAAAGTAAAGTAAGAGTTACTAATCATTGATATTATTAATAATATTACTAATCATTTATATTATTAAGTAATTATAAGCAAAAAAAAAATTATCGGAACGGATCGGGTAACCTTTAATTTTTAAAATGATACCCAATAACCATACCCGATAACAAATTATCGGAACGGGTACCCGAACCGTTACGGTTATTGGATCAGGTACCCTAATTTTTGGAATGGTTAAGGATCGATTTTTCGGTTTTTCTGTTTTTCGGGTAGTTTTGCTCAGCCCTAATTTTAGGTGTTATATTTTCTGTAATTGGTTAGGTTATTGGGTGTAAGTGTATGAAAACTATATTGCATACAGGAGATAGCTTTGTGTACAAAGGCTGTGATTGTACTGTGAGAGTACGAGTGAATTTAAGTCAGGGGACTTGAATTGGGTAGGATAGAGTCCTACTGTGTAGCAAGTTCTAGTTGGAACTTGTGAGCAAAGGTCTGTCTTATAATAGGTTTGTAACTTGGTGTGTGCCCTATTATAGTGGATTGGTTTTTGTGTTGAAATTCCTTAGAAGGGTCGAGATTTTACTTCTAGTTGAGCCCTGGAAGGTTTCCTCGTAAAATCCTGTGTGCTTTGCTAAGTTCCTTTTATATTTTGTTTGTAATTTGCAAAAGTAGTCACTGGGAACTCACCTACTATTTACCCCCCTCTTGTAGTGTTTGTTTCAACTAACAATTTTTTTTTTTTTTTTTTTTTTTTTTTTTTTGCAATTTATTGGGTTTTAGTTTCCAAGTAATTTCTTTAATTCTCCTTCATTCCCGTGATTTTCTACCAAAGGGACAATCAAATAGGGATGGAGGGAGTATATTTGTATAGGATCAAGTTTTTATACTTCTTAGGGTCTGTTCTCATTGAAATGAACTGAACTGAACTGAACTTATTAAAGCTGAACTAAACCGAATATTTTATGAGAGAAAGAAATTAGTTGCTAAACTGAAAAAACTTATTAGAGCTGAACTGAACTGAACTGAACTTATTAGAGTTGAACTAACCTGAACTGAAAATAATTTGATGAGAACAGGGTCTTAATAAATATAATTACAAATATTCATGGTCAAAGTTGTGCATCGGTATATATAGGTAAAACTTCTATATCTTTGACGATGGATTCTCATTAATTTATAAGTGATAATATATTTATGTAAGATCTTGTTAGAATTGTCACATTATATTTTATTAATATCAAGTTTCTATTATTTTTATGTGTTTAGAAATGGATATATATTCATTTGAACGTGTCTTGAAGACCATAAAAAGTCAAATAGGACAAAAAAAAAGGAAAGTTGTTATTAAAAAAGTATAATACATATTTTGAGAGAAGTATAAATTTAAAACATATATCTTGAGCAAGCGAGGAGTTTAATTTGCGGCTAAGGCCAATTTACCAGATAGGTAAAATAAAGACCTCTAGTGATATTTCAGTAAAAAAATAACTCCGGTGATAATCTGGAAAAAAAAATTAATCACATGTGACATTTAGAAAAAATCTATTTTTTCCACAAAGTCATCAAATTTTCTAATTCAATTCATTATTGTAATTTTTAAAAATTATTTTTCCCATTTTAAAATTTAAATTAATATCATCTCCTTTTATTTTGTGAAGTCCTGATATCAAATTAATTTCCAACCCCTTTCTAGAAAATCGATAATAAGGGTAGGAAAAATACGTTAAAAAATATATTAATCAATAATTTTTATTCAAATTGTTAATTCCGAAAAAGGGGTTGGGAAATTAGGTAAGAAAACCATGAAAAAGAACTAAATTAAGCATTTGCGAGTAGTTTGTCGGAAATTTTTGTATATTAAAGGTTAATTGTCGCCTGAGATGATTTTTTTACACCAAATTGTTGCTTAGAGTTAGTTTTTTTTTTTCACTAAAGTGTTGCCGGAGCTATTCTATTTACCAAATGTTCTCTAGGCGTTTTTTTTATTTACTAATTTGGACAATTGGCTATGTGCTAACGACACCATGTAACCACTAGCTAAGACATTGACGAAATAACCTATATAATATTGAACAAGTAACCCTTATAATACTAACAAAGAAACCCAGGATAACCAGCCAAATATAAAAGTTGGTAAGCTTGAGTGACCTTATTCTCGGTTCAATTGGCTCTATTCATGGTAGATTATCAGTCGATTTCTCACCTTTGATTTCTAACAACTCCATCTAATACCAAGTACCCAAAAAAGTCATGATAATATCAGTGCCAATTGCAATCGAGAGTGCGTGTGGTTAACATTAAAAAACAACTTGATTGCGATTCTTTATGGAAAAGAAAAAAAAATAAAGGAGTGTGAAAAAAAGGAAATATTGTAACAAATTCATACCATCGATCGCCTTGGAAAGTGGGTAGATGGTAGGCGAGGTGCTCGTGTCCTATTCATAGAAAATAGAATTGTATATAGAAACACACAAGTATCTATGAAAGGAAAACCAAATGAAATCTAGTACTCTTTTCGTTCCTTAGATTCCTACTTCAAGCCTTTATCCTCATATAATAAAATGAATTAAAATTAATTTAGAGATAGAAGAAGGAGTATATCATAAAGAAAAATTCAAATTTATCACCTCAATAAATTTAAAATGCAATTTAATGCAAACTTCAAATTAAATTGCTTAACGTATTGCTATTTACGTATAAAATCACTTTTAAGTTATCGATTTTACCCAAGAAATACTCTAAAATAATCTATTCCGTATTATGTACGGAGTACTTAACATGTTTTGTTATCAAGGAGTTAAATTGGATCTTATTCGAGATCATTACCTTATGTCAACTGCTGACTATCATTTTAAAGTTATTTTTTGGTAATGTTTCTCATACAGACAGTTATACTAAGCATATGTTTTGTTTTATTACGTCAATAGTCCAAATTTGTAGGCTGAACTACAATTTAATTTATTCATATAAAGAATGGTATATATACTATATACAAGTCTACCTTGGCCTATCTGATACTTGTATTATTTGATCAAAAAGAAAAGTAGAGAGAAAAGAGAGAGAGAGAGAAAAATATATATGTTAAACACAAGTAGTTCCGGAAGACACAATTGTTAACCAAAAATCATCATGAGAGAAAGGAGGAGCTTGATGCTGGTGCACTTTTTGTTCTCCAATCTAAAGGTATGTAAATTTTCAGTCTTCTTTATGGATCAACTGTATTTAGTGGCGGATCTTGAATTTTTTTTTTTCATAGGGAACAATTGTTATTGCAACATTCATTTCCGAGGTTGCACCTACTTAAGACATTACAAACTAATAATGTAGTTTTGAGTATCAAAATTGTTGTAAAACACCAACTTATATATCATATGTATATGTAGTGCATTCTTGCAAAACAAATTGTCTAGCGTGGGAAAATTTTGTTGTTTGAGTAAGGTTTGCATATACTAATCGTAAGTATATATAATAACTATAATAATGTATGTTATTATTATTATCACGTAGCTAGCTAGGATGATGATATTATGTGGCAGTAGTTTGAAGGTGCTACCAAATTCATTATATTTACATAATTTTGTTTTCTTATAGTAATTTTTTTTTTTTTTTTTAAAGTGATTTTGGTTGGAAGGAAAAGGAGGAACAAACTACCACTGTTATATTCTTTAGTTTTGGACTTTTGGTAGACTACCAATTTGCAATAGCATACCTCTAATTTATTGAAATTTACATAATACATCAGGTTTACCATGAGCATGGTACACCCTGCTCTAAACGCTTGATTTTACATCAAATTAATATTTAATCTGCCAACTTTACACATTATAAAAAAATAAATAAAATAAATAAATAAAAAATTATCAACTCCACAATTAATGGGATCATGCATGATCATCTCCTTTTTGCTGAACTTCCATATTAATTATTACTTCTTGTTATTTTTTTTTCTTTTTTTTTAACAATATATGAATGCGGGCGGAAGATCCATAATATTAATAGGAAAAAGATATATGCAGCCAAGGGCTGCATATAAGAAGCTAAAAATGAAAAGGAAAGACAATAAATAACCATTTATTACACCGATTTACTCGTGAATTGTCGATAAATTCCCAACTTAATACTAAAAAGGAAGTATATTAAATACTTATATGCAGCCCTAAGGGCTGCATATAACATTACCCTTTCAAAAACTTACTAAATTTATATACCAGAATACAAAAAAAAAAAAAAAATTTAATTAAAGAAAGACGATTATTGGATCTATTACTATATTATACGAAGTATTCTGTATATATAGAATGCACTCGTATATATATTATATATTGTATAAATACAGTTGTTGTATATGTAATGACTAATGAGTGATTAAATTGTGACGGGTCATGGGTGCACTGTGGGTACCATCTAACAACATCGATAGTAGCACCGGCACTACTGAGTTTACCGTATGCTTTTAAATTTCTTGGATGGGCTGGAGGAATTATATGCCTCATTTTAGGAGCAATGGTCACATTTTACTCCTATAATTTGCTATCGTGGTACTTGAACACCATGCTCAATTAGGTCGCCGCCATCTTCGGTTCCGAGACATGGCACATGATATATTAGGTATGTTCTTATTTATGTATACAAATCCTCAATATTTAATACGCAGTATTAGACAAAGAACACATTAGTTTATTAATTAGAGTTTTAGAATTAGTTTATATAGATTAATGTTTGTGTAAATATAATAGTCAATAAAATAATGATCAAGTATATCATCATGTTGACTTGTTGCTGGAGCAAGTTTTTTTTTTCAATGTAAATCATAATTAAAGAAAACAACTAATGACTTGACCACGTTGAATCTCTTGTTATTTCAATAATATCTTGCCAAACTTGAAAGACGAAAAATACTTAATCTAATCATTTTCTTAACTTCAAAAGATTAAATGATGTTATAATTATTTGCTTTCATGTATGGTTCGTAAAAACACATTGACCATGTACACCAATTATTGCCTTTTTTCATAAAAAACACATATTACACTACGTAAGTACGTATTATTATATTTTAGTACTTTATTGTTAGCGTATGATAGAGACATTATTGGATTTTATCATGACTTACAAAATATTCAATTCAACTTATTTAGATATGATAAATTTGGCATCAAGGATTAATAACTAAATAAATTTTTTAACATTATTGGTAGGTCCAAGATGGGGCGATATATTGTGGGTCCAGTTCAATTTGCAGTGTGCTATGGTGCAGTTGTTGGAGCTTGTCTTATAGGTGGTCAGTGTATAAAGGTCATTTTTTCTTATTTCAGACAAAATATATTCAAATTATATTACACAATGATTTAGTCATGTATACTAATAACTTAGTGATGATGCAACTTTTCTCAGGCTATCTACTTGTTGTTCAATCCGAATGGTACAATGAAGCTCTATGAATTCATAATAATATTCGGAGGACTAATGCTAATCCTAGCTCAGATGCCCTCATTTCACTCTCTACGCCATATTAACTTGATTTCTCTACTCCTATGCCTTGGCTATAGTGCCGCTGCTACTGTTGGCTCCGTCTATATTGGTAATCCAAGCCTTTTCTTCTTGATGAAAATAAGTAAACCCATGATTGATTTTTGCACTTCCCCACTTCATATAAACCTTGCTTGTTTTACATCATTTTGTTTTATTTATGTCGCATATTTTCACTGATATGTATTTCGTACTTATATTATCATCAATGTATATCCGGATTGTTCTTAATGTATTTTTTAAAATGTCGAATTTTTGTGATAAATAATTAAAGAGATTAATGACCAAATTTATATTTTAGCAAACTTGTCCTACTAAAACTTTATGTAAGGTATTATAGTGGCAATGAGCTAGATTGTGTATGTCTTTCAATTCACATGCCCACGATTACACACACACACAAACAAACAAAATAAAAAAAAAAAAAAAATAAAGTGTTCAAGAATTTTATGTCAATGACCAATCTACATAAATGCCCAAATTTTATGTATTTTATGTCAATGACCAATCTACATAAATGCCCAAATTTTATGTATTTAAAAAAAAGTTACACGGCAATGCATCATAGTTGTAAAAGTAACATGATCCTGCCTCACACCAGGCCACAACCTTTAATTTTTTTTTTTTTTTTTGTTGACATCAAGGCCACAACCTATCATACAGTACACTATCTAGGTAGAAAATTTAGCATGCATGTGATCAACCATGATATTACACTAGAAACAATTGAATCATATACTACCTTTAAATCATATTGCTTTTGAAAAGTATCCTAAAGTTGTCAATGGAAATGAATAATGTGTTGCATTGTGTCATGCAGGACATAAATCAAAAGGACCAGAGAAAGACTACTCACTAGTTGGCAACTCTGAGGATCGGTTATTTGGTGTATTTAATGCAATTGCGATTATTGCAACAACTTTTGGGAATGGAATTATTCCTGAAATTCAGGTTATTTAGATGTCATATCTTCTTAAAATCTTTTTTTGGATAGTCCTTAATTCAATTATATAATTATGTTGCTAATTGCTTATGAAATTTATGACACAATATTGTTAGGCAACGCTAGCACCACCAGTAAAAGGGAAGATGTTCAAGGGACTATCCGTGTGTTACAGTGTAGTTTCAATGACATTCTTTAGTGTCGCGGTGTCAGGTTACTGGGCATTTGGGAACCAAGCTGAAGGCCAGATATTAAGCAACTTTGTTGTGAATGGAAATCCTTTTCTACCTAAATGGTTCATTTTTATGACCAATGCCTTTGTCATCCTTCAAATTTCTGCTGTTGGTGTGGTACGTAACAACTTTACTTTTTCTTGCCTGGCACATTGATTTTCACACTGAAAGTTATGCCCTTAAGAAACCACTGCATAACAAGTTAAAAATACACTAATTAAAATGCCTTGATCTTTGATCTCACGATATAGAGTTTATAACTTATTAATTGTGAGATCAGTGTTCGTTTGAAATATAATAATCATAATAGTTTAATGATTATGTAGCTCATAATATGTAATATGTAACGCAATTCAATTTTTTGGCGCAGATATACCTGCAACCTACAAATGAAGTATTAGAGGGAGTATTGGCAGATCCGAAAAGTGGTCAATTCTCTCTAAGAAATGTGATCCCAAGGGTGATATCGCGGTCTCTCTCAGTCGCCATAGCAACAATAATATCAGCAATGCTCCCATTTTTTGGAGACATAAATGGAGTTATTGGAGCATTTGGCTTCCTTCCTCTAGACTTTGTTCTACCTGTCATTTTATTCAACCTTACATTCAAGCCTTCCAAACGTACTTTCATATTTTGGTTGAATCTAAGCATTGCTGTTGTTTTCTCCATATTAGGGGTCATTGGATCAGTTGCTGCCGTAAGGCAAATCATTCTTGATGCCAAATCTTATAAATTGTTTGCCAATGTATGAAATTTTCACTGCATTGGTGAGGCTGGAGTTCATATTTTTGGGCTTTTTTGGACTTGAAAGAGGATGTCGTTTTTCCTTAGATTTAGAATATGTAAAATGTAAATTGTTTACATAAATATTTTTTGGGGGAGTTTTTTTTTTTTTTTTTTTTTTTTTTTAAATTATTAAGGTTTAGGTGACCAAAAGTATTAATATATGTAGCTGCAAATTGCAATGTTGCAGCATTGTAACCAAATACCAATGCAAATCAAGGAGCAAAACAAAATCACAAAATTCCATTAATTGAGAACATTGAGCTTCTCGTTGAGACATGCTATATTTTCCACAAGGACTTAAGGTGTACTTTTTTTTTTATTATTATTTTTTTAATAGTAAATCTGTTCATTTCTAAGGAAAAATTTACAATAATAATTCCACATTTTTATAAGTTTTCTCATAATAGTCTCATCTTCAAAAATCTCGAAATAATCCCATCTTTTAGGGCTACCTATATATATATAACAATTAGGGCAAGCTTGGATTGAGGGAGATATTACTACGGTAATAAAAGTCAAACTAAGCAAAAAGAAAGTGAATATAGGGAGGTGGAGATAGTGCTGGTGTGATTGTAAGGAAATTATGTAGTGAAGGTGTGGTATGAGATGAAGAAAAAGGAACTAATACCCTCATTTTGGGGTAATAGTTACACTAGGGGGGTGGATAACTATTACCCTCATTATGAGGATAATAATTTCTCCATCTCTCTCTTTTCCTCATGGCATAATTATCTTATTTCATTTGAAAGCACCTTGTCTCCTACAATAACACATCTAATTACTTATGTTTTTCAAGCTTGACTGATCAAGAATTACAAAATGGACAATGCAAAAACCAATAAGACTCCTATGGGTATTGGAACTAGGTTGGATGAAGATCCAACTGGAACTTGCATGGATCAAAACTATGTATCGAGGTATGATAGGCTCTTTACTTTACTTAACAACAAGCACACCTGACATATCTTTAGTGTAGGTCTTGTGCTAGGTTCCAAGCAAATCTAAAGGAATGTCACTTGGTAGCAGTAAAGAGAATCCTTCGTTCATTTAAAGGAACTGATGACTTGAGTCTCTTCTATCCTAGAAGTGATTCATTTGAATTAAATAGCTTTACTGATGCTGACTATGCAGGTGATTTGGTTAATACACTACTAGAAAATAGGCAAATAATGACGAAAATTTTCCGTCGGAAACATCCCGTTTTCCGTCAGAAAACCCGTTTCCGACGGAATTCCGTCGGAAAACCCGTTTCCGACGGAATTCCGTCGGAAAAACTGTTGTAGGAAAATGGGCCTTTTCCACAGAATTTTCGTCGGAACCACTATTCCGACGGAATTCAGTCCGCCGGAAGTTATTTTTGGGCCCGAAATAGTCCGTCGGAAATGTACGACGGAAAATCCGTCGAAAAATGCTTTTAATAAAACAAAAAAAAGCCTCCCAGATGACCCACCACCACCCCCTACGCCATCGACCCCCGAGCCCACACCAGCCCGTACCACCCCACACTAGTCCGTATGTACCACCCCCACAACACCCGTTACACCCCCCACAACAGCCTACACCACCAGCCCCCTAACTCAACCAAAAAAATCAAAACCGAAACCCCTACCGACCCACCTAACCCTAACCCACCCAAATACATATCTTCCACCCAAACAAAACCAGATCTACAACCCTAATCATTACTGCCGCCAAACCACCAAATCACCCACCTAAACCATCACTACTGCCGCCGAAAAGACCTTCACAACAAAAATATTTAGAAAAATTCGAACTCCCAACAGCTGCCACAAAAAAATCGGATTAAACAACAAAAAATTAAAAAAAAAACACTTACCTTAATTCGACACAAAAACCTCAAAATTAGGTTTAAGAGGCAAATTCAACCACGAAAACTCTAGATCTAGAGTTTTCGTGGTCGAATTGGCCTAAAAACCTTCATTTGCACCGTTGGAGATCGCGTTTGGGGGTTGGGTTCGGATATTCGACCTGTGTTCGATCTTGTGGCGGCGGGTGGTAGTGTC